TTATGTAGTAGTGATGGTTTCACTTGTGATGCCTCATTAATGGTTGAGAATGAGAACCTCAAGAAGGAGGTCAATAAGCTCACTCATACCTTGGCTAAGGCATATGGTGATGAGGATTGCTTGCTTATGTGCTTGGGTAGCCAAAGAGCTTCTCTCTATAAAGAGGGATTGGGCTATAACCCCAAAAAAGGCAAGGCGGCCTTTGCTCCTCACAAGACTAGTTTTGTAAAAAACAATGGTCGGTTCTGCACTAGTTGCAAGCAAGTTGGTCATGTAGAACAAAAGTGCATGAACAAGAAGTCACAAGCTAATGTATCCTCCATTAAGCTTGATTCTTTTTATATGCTTACCAAGGGTGCAATTGGTGTAAAGGCTAAGTTCAATGGTAAACCATGGATGGACTCAAAGAAGAAAGCCATTTAGATACCAAAGAGCTTAGTAACTAACCTTAAAGGATCCAAGCAAGTTTGGGTACCTAAAAAGAATTGATCTTCTTTTGTATGTTAATTACAAAGCCAGAGGAAGGCATTGGGTTCTTGATAGTGGGTGCACTCAACACATGACCGATGATGCAAGAATGTTCAACTCAATCAACACCAATGGCAATGATGATTATGATAGTATCACATTTGGTGACAATGGCAAAGGCAAGGTCAAAGGGCTTGGTAAGATTGCAATATACAATAACATGAGCATTTCCAATGTGTTGCTAGTAGAGAGCTTGAACTTTAATTTGCTATCCGTAGCTCAATTATGTGATCTTGGATTCAAATGTATATTTGGGGTAGATGATGTAGAGATCATAAGTGTAGATGGCTCTAACTTGATCTTCAAAGGCTTTAGATATGAGAATCTATACTTGGTTGATTTCAATGCTAGTGAAGCTAAATTATCTACATGTTTGTTCACTAATTCTAGCATGGGTTGGTTATGGCATAGAAGGCTTGGTCATGTTGGAATAAAATAATTGAATAGATTGGTTAAGCATGACTTGGTTAGAGGCTTGAAAAATGTTGTGTTTGAGAAGAATAAGCTTTGTAGCTCTTGTCAAGCCGATAAACAAGTTGGAAACACCCATTCTAAGAAAAGCATGACGAGCAGTAGTAAAGCACTTGAGTTATTCGTATGGACTCAAATGCCCTCGGCTCCAAGTGAATAAGCTCGCTTCAAGAGATAAGGCTCAGCGGTTTCATGGGAACGGACCGCGAGATGGAGGTTGCTGATCTTCTGTTTGGGGTTGGGGCTTCACGACCGGCACTTGAGAGAATATCTATATCATTGTTCCCTCAAATAAACCAAGGTGTGGATGGCAGTTTTGCGTGCGGAGTACTGTGGTATGCCATTGGTGTGAAGATGAAGACTGAGTTCCCTCTTGTGGGAGGATGCTGGGAAACCGCTCCGAGGAAAGAACTCACATGGACCAGAACATGAATTGCAAGATAAATATGGTGTACAAAAATATTACAGTACAACAAATATTGTTGCTACATTGTAGGGTCGTGTCCATGTATGCTTGCAAATTTTGTTCCTTCCTTCTCCTTCGAAAGGTGCCTTTCGGTGATTTTTGATGAAATGACACTTATTATCATGCACAGATTAAACAAATAGAGGTAATAATTTATGAGGCAGCAACTAGCAATGTTTCTAGGCAATCAGCGCATGAGAAATCTTGCTTGCTCAAAAAAAAAAAAAACAGGTAATAACGGTTCCTGCTGTTACCACTTTTGAACAAAGGCATAGGAAGGTCCAAGCAGGAAGACGTAGAGGGCGTGTTCGGCTGGCTTAAAGCCAGCCGGCTGGCTTGTTCCGCCACTTACGAAATCACTGTTCACGTCCTGCCAGAACAGTATTTTTCTCTCACAACAATCAGCCGGAACAGTATTTTCCAGTCCTGCCGAACAGGCACAGAAGTTCCAAAATAGTACAAAGTTATTTTCTCTGAACTTATGTACTTTTTGAAGTTTTGATCCCTTTCTCAAAGATATACAAACAAAAATGTGCACTTGCTTGTTGTTTCATGACTCAACATGAGAGGCAAAATCTAAAACTCTCCAATGCCTGCTGTAGTAACTATGAAGCTTGCAGCTGCCTGCCATTTGTTCCTCTACCAATCAGCCAGGGGTTTAGAAAATTCCTTATTTAGCATCAGAAAAAGATGCAATTGCTTATTTAGCATCGCGAGATAAAAGTTCCCAAATATAGTATTGGCTTTATTTTTTATTCCCTAAATAGCACTACCGTTACATCTGACATCTGACACAGTTAACTTAGAGGAAAAAAGACTGTTTTGCCCTGTTTTTCATGTGTAGTACATTGTCCAAAAAACTATGCTGTCATAATTCATAAATAATCTGTGCAAAGAAATGGTACTGCAACAAAATGTTCAATGTAAAAAAATGTACCGGCAAAATATGTTCAATGTCAAAACATGGTAAGTTAACAATCTTTATGTGTTGTTGGTGTTACACATGAAAAAATAGGGGCAAAATGATCTTTTCCCTACCAAGTTAACGACGTTGGAGGTCAGATCTAATGGTAGTGTTATTTAGGGAACAAAAAATTAAGTCAATGCTATTTTGGGGAACTTTTATATTTCAGTGCTAAATAAGGAATTGCATGATTTTGTGATGCTAAATAAGGAAATTTCTCAACTAAGTAGGGAAGCAGAGTTTGTAGAAACACGAAAATTATATATATGACCAAATTGTATATTGTCTTACAGTTCGGGTAAGATAATCTCAAGTCCCTCTTCCAATGACATTGAACTGAAGTCAAAGTGACATAATTGGTTTGGCTCCATTCTTAAAAATGCGCAAATGCCCTTTTTGACTTTCATCTTCTACTTTTTTCTATTAAAGTTTCCTTGGATCTCAATCTCTGCTACTACTTGAATATTGTACCGTTGGCCAGCAAAAAATCAGAAAGCATGTAAGCAAAAAGGATAGGAAAACTCCACAAAGATATACATAACATCGTTGTTTGGAGAGAAAAAAAAAACCCAGCGATAGAGCCATCGGCTGGAGTGCTACACGCGCGGCTTTGCCACGCCAAAAGTCTCCGCAGAGTCCCTGAAGCATCTGGCGTTTCGTTCTTTCCAAACTTCCCACGAGATGAGCGCGAACAGGGAGTCGAGTCCGGCGCGCTGATCACCATGGAACAGAGAACGCAGCCGCCGCCACCAGCGAATGGTTGTCGTCGCCGCCTGCGGACATTGCCTGCCAATGCCAAGGGCTGTCAAAGCGTGGTGCCAGATCTCCCGAGTGACCGAGCATTGTGCCGGAATGTGGTCGATCGTTTCACGCCCTTGTTCGCAGAGGTAGCATTCCTCGCGTGCATCCAAGCCGTGTCTGAGCCTTCTGTCGCCTGTCCAGTGCTGTCGCCTGAACGCCAGCCATAGGAAAATCTTGATCTTTAGGGGAGCCCAGGTTTTCCACATGAGGTTGTGACCGAGGAACCGAATTGATCCGGCGTGAAGCATGGTATATGCTGACTTCGCCGAGTACGAACCGTCCGGTGTCCATCTCCAGATGGTCCGATCTTGGGCATCAGTCAGCTGGTAGTCGCGCAGTGTGTTCCAGAGGAAGAGGTATTCAATGATAGCGTCAGCTGACATTCCCCCGGTGATGCTTCGCGTCCAGGCCCTGTCGATGAGGCCATCTCTGACCGACTGCCTGCTGCGAGTACTCCTGGGCACCAATTGATATAAGCATGGTGCAATGTCGACGACCGACTCGCCGTTGATCCATCGGTCTTCCCAGAAGAGAGCCTGGCGTCCGTCCCCGGCAACTGTGTAGGTTGAAGCCCTGAAGAAGCCCTGAACTTCCGGCGCAGTTTTGATTGGCAGCTGGCTCCAGGCTCGGTCGCGATCAACTTTCTGCAACCATAACCATTTGGTCTGTAGGGCGAACCCGGTTAGCTTTAAGTCGCTGATTCCCAGTCCCCCGAGCTCGGTTGGCTTGCAGACGGTTGGCCAGGTGATCATGCACTTCCTTCGAATGGATGCGTCTGCGCCTGCCCAAAAGAAATTCCTACAGAGGCTGTCGATCTCCTTCCGTGCCCAAGGCGGCAGATCTTCAGCGATCATTGCGTAGATTGGTACGGCGCGGAGCACGGACTTGATCCAGACCAGACGTCCACTCCTCGCCATTAGAGCCCCGTGGCATGGCGGCATCTTCCGAGCCACAGCCTCGACCACCGACTGGTAGTGTGCTTTGGGTATTAGTCACATATCAGTTGCCACTGCTCTGCTTGACGTAGTCACATATCTGTTGCCACTTGCCACCGCTCTGCTTTCACCATGTCGCAAGGATACGCTGGATCTCCGATACACGAATCGGAGTGATGCCAATAATAATGGCTGAAGCATGGGATGACTCCTGCTTGGATGTGAACACGATAACATGTGTTTTGCGTTCGTGATAACTTACCAGGTTAATCTTTGTACGTGATGAAACATATTTAAAACTCAGCGATGCATCGTGATGCTGTCTGAGATTCCTGAAATTCTCATAGGAATCATATGTTCCAACTTCCAAGCCGACTTCACGGCTGTTGACTAAGGTTGTTTCGTTCATAAGAATGTAAAAAGCTCATTTGCCTGCAATAACTGGGGGAAAAAAGTCAATTTGGGCAATTAATGGGTAACGATTTAGTTTGGATATGAACCAAATCCTAAAATTTTCTATAACAAACATCTCATACCAACACGAAGCCATATATTAAGTGGTTTCAATACAATTTATGGAACTAGCACGAGCCACGAGGTCTTTATCAAGTGATGCTATTCGATCAGACACTTACTGTAAAACTCGAAGCACAGCCCATGTTTCCACGTTGGTTCCTAAATCAATAAATACGATGCTAGATTGCTAGTGCTATGAAAGTCTACTAAATCAAGAGAGAGAGAGAGAGAGGGAGGAAAAAAAACGATGAAAAATTCATATACTACAACATAAGACAGTGGCTGTAGTTATCACTCATCGCTATGCTCCTCAACAAAATCAGCTGGTAGCTGCTGCAGTGAGCTTGTACTTAAGGTATGCTCTGATGAAGGGATCTAACTCTCCGTCCATGACGCCAGTGACGTCTGACGTCTCACACCCTGTCCTGACGTCTTTGACAAGCTTGTAGGGGTGGAAGACATAGTTGCGTATCTGCTGCCCCCACTCTGCCTTCACCATGTCGCCACGGATCTGCTTGATTTCTGATGCACGCTGCTCCTCGGCGATCACCAACAGCTTCGCTTTGAGCCGGTTGAGGGCTTTTATTTTGTTGGCCAGCTGGCTCCTCTCCTCTGCAAAGTTGGATATTGGTATGTTACAAAAACAAATGTCAGATTTATCTTGATAACCTGCAGTTACTTTGAATTCTTGATTTCAATTTTCAAAGATGTCGTAAATATCTTTTTCTGCGAGAGTGACAATCAAGCCTTGGTAAAAGCTGGGAAAATTTTGCTTATCAACTATGCAGGGGTAGGAAGTTCTGGTAGTTTCAGGAGGGCATTAATAATTTCTTCACATCTTTTGCTTACCACCAATTCATTTACTACATTTTTTTTTTGCTTTTTTCATAACTATTATCTTGTCAAAGTCAACCTAAGACCCAATTTACACAGAGAAGACTGACTGCATGTTGTTCGGCATATGCAGATGCAAGCTGGTCTGAAATTGTACCTGAGCAACGAACTGCAATTCCAGTTGGAATATGAACCATACGAACAGCCGTTTCCACCTTGTTTACGTTCTGGCCTCCTTTACCTCCAGCTCTTGTGAAGCTTATATCCAGGTCCTCTTCAGGTATGTCCACAGCCATGGATTCCTCTGGTAAAAGAGGCATAACCTCAACACCAGCAAAGCTTGTCTGCATAAAGTAGCACATATAGCAGAAAACTGAGAATTGGAAAGGCACTATCCCTTAACCACGAAAAAATGCTGATAAATTTACAGAATTAGAACTGTGAAATGCAAATATTACCTGTCGAAGCCCTTTAGCGTTAAATGGCGATTGACGGACAATCCTGTGTGTCCCTTTCTCGCCAGAGATATAGCCATAAGCATATCTTCCCTCTAGTTCAACAGTTGCTGATTTTATACCAGCCTCTTCACCAGGTGATTTCTCAACTACTCGCGTCTTGTAACGCTGCTTCTCTCCCCACCTTACATACATCCTTAGTAACATGTCAGCCCAATCCTGCACAGATCAAACAAAAATTTTAGCAGGATGCAAACACACTTAGAGTAAGCAAACAAATGCTTTTAAATGAAAAATTCAGTCCTTGATATTCTTTCATGAGGTGAGTACAGTTGTGTATGAGTGTATCGTTATAAATACTGCATGGAGTAGTCATCAACAATGTCATCTCTGTATCATGGTTCATTGTGTGTACTGTGTACTTTTGAGGACAGCCAAAATTGCAATATTCATCGTTTGACTACTTTTATTCTGTTAGTGTCTCTTCATAGTATCAAGGTAACACTTTTATGGGGACAGATAAGACTTAAAATTGTATATGGAAGCTATTGCAAAACTTATAGTTAATAATACAAAAAACAAAGTAACAAGCTTAATTTCTTCCTATGCAAAGTACGGAATGACAAATACATAAGATTTTTTTTTCCCAAACGAAAAGTACTGTTCAAATTTTTTTAATGAATACAACCATCCTGCCTAAAGAGAGTTTAAATACTTCCTATGATCGTACATATAAGCCAATCTAGGTTTGTTGTAAGTAAACTTTTTATTTTTTACCATCAATATCTCAAATTTCATATTAGACTGACGACATAAGTTTGATACTACTAGAGTCCTGATGAAGAATATTTTCATAATATATAACTATTTCTATTTAAGATAATACATTTAGAATAATATTACTAGTCAAAGTGCAATATTGGAGACTGTATCGATGTCATAGTGGACTTTTAGTTGACTGTATGAAGTTAGACTTATTCTTTTTTTTTTTTCTCGAATGCGCAGGAGAGCTGCATGCACGCTTTGTATTATAGGGAGGAAAAAAGGATTGGCCTCTTACATGAACACCACCACCTCACTCCGTAGTTAGACTTATTCTTAATCACTACAAAGAAAAGATTTAAACACAGTGAATGCCTACCTGAGCGTCAGTGCCACCAGCGCCAGCAGAAATATTAATTACAGCACCTTCCTTGTCATATGGTCCAGAAAGAAGCTGTGTCATCTCAAAGTTATCCAATGCCTTATTTAATGCCTTTATAATCTTTGAGGCCTCCTCAAGAAGACCAGTATCTATAGAATCTAATTCTTCAGTAAGCTTCACAATAGTCTCAGCTTCTTCAACCTACAAGTAGAAAAGGAACAGTACAACTAAAAACTAGTAGTGCTCATATACCAAATTGTAGACATATGGCATTCTTCTTCCACGAAAAGTGATAGCATCTATAATTCCAAAATCCAAACTGTTGCAGGGATATATGCAGCAGATTCTTATTTTTTGTTAATTAGCTACCATGAACTGTACAAATATGCAGCAAATATGTCATCGCTATTATCATAGAAACTGTGAAATAGTACATTCAGTTCATCGGCAATGCTGTGAGTGGTCAAACCTGTAACTTGAAATCGTTGAGAAGCTTTACTCTGTCTTTGACCTCTGTCAGAGAAACAAGTATCTCCTGTGCCTTGGAAGGATCATCCCACAAGGAACTATCAGTGGACTTCTTCTCAAGCGAAGCGATATCCTCCTCAAGCTGTTCCAAACCGGCAGATTGCCTGACTTCATTGACACGCTCAAGAGCCAACTCAACATCCTTCCGCAAGGTGTAGAAATCTGTCGCAGATATCGAATGATAGTTGTTACGATCTGAGCATCGGACAGAAACCTGGTGGACCTACTAGCCACTGCAACAAAGTGTGTGAGCAGAGAGGTTACCCTGCAAGGCCCATTCTGCAGCCTCCGGTTCATCCGCGACGCTTGACTGGCTTCCGGCCCCGGAGGATGAGGATCGCACTGTGTTGACCCAAGTCTGTCAATGTTTCATCCAGAGAATAAGACAGCTAATAACGCATAAATCACCAAAATCTTTGGTCGAGCCAAACAAGCTGAATCAGCTGTAATCCTCTCTTAAACTAAAACATGGCTTAAGCTTGCGCGGAACTTGAGCTTAGAAGGCTTAGTTGCAGAGATATCAGAAACTATAGGATTGGTTACACGAGCGTATGAGGCGAACTCACCAGGAACGGAGCTCCACCGCCGGTGGAGGCGGCTGAAACAAACGGAGAAGGGAGCGCGTCCCTGGTTCGACCCAATTCCAGGCGTGTATTGAGCGGCAGCGACGCGAGGGGCCGGCAGAAGCAGCCGCGGGCAGTCAACCATGCCGCCGCGTGATGCGCCGAGGTTGGTGCGGGGCCGCGGGGCGCGGGCGGGGGGCGCCGGTGGAGGAGCGCGCGGGCAGACGGTGTTTGGAGTCTTGGACTTTGGAGGCGGAGGGCGAGCAGGGGCGGATTGGGGGAGGAAGAACCAGAGCGATAAGGATCCGACGGTTGAAATTAGACTAGAAAAATATTGAGCAATATCAATTGGTTTACTGCTCTTGTTTTTTCGCGTCCGTTCGGTCCGACGGGATGGACCAGCCTGCCCCCACGCCTCGTGCCTCGCGCGCCCCACCCACGTCTCGTGCCGCGCTGCTCTCGCCTCGCATTGCCCGCACCGCGCGCCGCTTACGGCTCCTACCTCGCGCTGCGCATAGCCGAGGTTCGACCTCCGCACCGTGGCATCGAGCTCCGTGCCCGCGTTCATTAGGGGCAGCAAGTAAATATACATGTTGCAACAGTACATTTCATACGTTTTAGATATACGTTGCATATGCTTTATCTGAATATTACAAAAATAGATCTGGTGTTGTATATGTTACAATGACTATACGTGTACGTTGCAAGTGTATATTTCAAATGTTTAGATGTTTTAAACGTATGTTGCAAGTGTTTTATTTGAACGTTGTATATGTTGCACTGGCTATACACGTACGTTGCAAGTGTATGTTTCAAATGTTTCAAACGTATGTTGCAAGTGTTTTATTTGCATGTTGCATATGTTGCAGTGCCCATACATATATGTTGTAAATATTTCATCTGTTCCGGATGTATATTGCAACAAATCTTTATGTTGCAAGTGTTTTATAAGCGGTGTGTGGTAAAGAGGGTGTAGGCCAAGGTGGTCCCCTTTGGGCACGGCGATCCCAAAGATGCGCGGAAAAAGTAAAGCGGGCGTGACAATGTAGGTGCGAACATGAAGTTGCATCCATGGGCGGGCAACCGACGCTAACTCTGTTCATGGGTTGGTTTTGACAGTTTCTGGTTTGTTTCCAAACCAACCCAAGATAAATATGCCGGTGTGGTCTGGGCTGGTTTCCGTCGGATTGCTACGGTTTTAGTAAGTTTATTGGGATGGGTTGGTTATCAGGTTTGAATGGTTAACACGGGTTGACAGCTGAAACTCCTGGCTTGGCTAGTGAACTCCGATGAAGAGGCCTCGCCTATCGGTCCAATCCACTGGTCGTATTGCTCGCTTTGCTAGGGATGTTGGTTTTGCCTTGGCTGGTTACGATCCTGCAGCCGGTTTTGTCAAACCGTTGAACAGGGCGAGCAGGCGTAGAGCATGAGGTAAAGCAGAGCACGAAGCTGCATCCAGGAGCATGCCATAGGAGCGGAGCACGAAGCTGCATCCATAGGCGCCCCGAGGGTATTATTATTAAAATTATTGAAAACGGGCGGGCAACCGACGCGGGTGTCAGGACGTCCGGGCGCTAGTCTCTTCAAAGCTGTATCTATGGGCGTGCCAGCAAGCACAGAACATGAAGCTGCATCCATAAGCAGACAACAGGCTTGGAGCACGAGGCGAAGCGGAGCATGAAGTTTCATCCATGAGCAGGCAACAGGCGTGGAGCACGAGGCGAAGCTATATCCGGATATAGACGCCCTAAGGGTATCATTATTACAAAATATTGAAATCGGATGAGCAGCAGGCGCAGGTATTCGGACGTACGCCGCTTTCGAAGGTACGGGCGCTAGTCTCCCCAAATTTTTTTTCCTTTTTAGATGAAATCACATCCACTAGTCTCTCCGTTTTTTTCGTTTTCATATGAAATCACATCTATTAATTTAGACTTTAGCGCTCACAGCGCAGCGGCAACCATGGTTTTGTTGCTGATAAGCTGGCTGATACTGTTTCCTAATAAGAGAAAGCACCGCATCATGGCTCGTATGCCGGGCTGATATATTCAAGCGAACAGGACATGAACAGGACGAGGTTGAGGTTTGTTACGGTTGGCAGATCATCGTGCCACTGCTCGGCGACAAATTGTACCCACCAGCAAGATGTCCCCGTTCGCGTTCCTTTAACCCGGCAGATCCGCTTATTTTTTTTTATCTAGAATAGTGTTTTTCTCTCACAAATTCCTCCAGCATTCTCCAAACCATCCAGATTCCTTCAAAATCCAGACAAGCCAACAGGCCCAACAGGCCCAGACATTCACAAACATGCGAAATTTGTTCTCCCAAAAAAGTGCACCGTTTGAAGCTCTATCAACATTCCCAACAGTAGCCCGAACTCACCACAATTGCGTCTTCTCAGGTAGCCTTATGTTGCGGTTTACTCCACCCGGTATGATTTCTTCTTGACTTTCCGGATCCTCAAACGCCTAGCAGGCAAGAAATATATGCAGCTTACAACCCATTCCACCATTATATCACGTAATTGCCGTAGCAGCAAAAACTCAGACGAAAAACAACGCAGGAACCAGACAAAAAAAGGGAAGCAAATATCTCAGAATTCAGATCATGTTATGATTGATAGCCATCTTTTGCGGTGGTGTGTACCATTACACCACAGGCTCATAGGTTCAGCACATCACTTCCAATATTACATTTCCCAAACTCAAACTTCATAATCCATTCAAACATAGCATGAAATCACCTACGTACTAGAGAATACTGAAGCAAACGTCCCTGGATACCGCAGCAAAAGGTACTGTTTGTGGCTTGATACTTAAATCTCCTGAACAGTCAGACCTGTAATAGGGAAGTCATAATCAGTGAATGTGGATATAGTTGAGCAATTCTACAGCCAAAATTGTATGCACAGCAATCAGAGGCATTAACACAGAAAAGGAATAATTGGCCTGACATCACAATGACTCGATATGATGATGCAAAACATGTATAAATTCAAGATTATTAGCAAATAAACAGGATGATCATATCCATAGTATTTATCCTGAACAATTTATAACGAAACATCCCTGGACATGCATATTGCATAGCGACAATTGTAACCACGGAGTTGCATGATTGGGCATGTGCATAGTTCAGTTGAAACATCTCTGGACATCACAACAAGCTGCACAAATATGCTTCACACATTTTATTCCCAAGCACTACTATCCTATTCATGTATTAGTACCATGGAAAAATGATAACAGAAAGCCATAAGAACAAATAAAGATGTTTGCCTCTAATTGTGAAAGAAGCTCTGACTATCCAGAATAACTGAATATCCAGACTATCCTACAATTCATGACTGGTAGTCTATCCAGAATAAGTGAATAACTGAATTTCCAGACTATATATCCTCTAATTCATGACTGGTAGTCTATCCAGAATAAGTGAATAACTGAATATGCAGACTATCCTCGAATTTATCAATTGTAGTATATCCTCTAGCATTCAGAGGTTCAAGAATGAATAGAGCATAGATGTTTTTCCAAAGAGCGTGTGATATAGTCATGAAACAAGCAGTATTTTTGAATAACAGAGAAACTCCCCATCCAAGTATATACCTAATTACAGATAGGAATTATACTACTACTGTCTACTGCGGGGGACTAGTAGTGCTACATCTATATCATTCTCGCGCAACAACAAACGGTCTACCCCTCAGTAAACACAAACCAATCATCACATACAAATCGTGAAACGTCCAGTCCGAGGCTGGAATACGGAAGGCCCCCCAATAGATCAGCAAGTAGTCAAATCAAAAAGAGCAGTAGCTTAGATGTAGGGGGTAGGACTACGGAGCACGGACCTGGCGGGAGCGACTGCTTGAGCTTGTTGGCCTTGTCGGCGTCGTGGACGCAGAGGGTGTAGAGGTACTTGGAGCAGCGCACCTTGAACTTGACGGCGTCCTTGGCCCGCTTGATCCGCACCGACCGCGCGTCCTTCCGCCGCGCCGTCAGCAGGAAGTCCTTGATCTCGTGGATCTGCTTCGGCTGCCGATGAAACAAAAGAGGAACACGAACGAGTCAGCAGTTTGCGCCATCCGCCGCCGCTCAAGCGGGCGTCCAACCGTCAGCGTGTGGCGTGGGAGGAGAGGGGAGAGAAATCTCACCATGGTGGTAGCCCGGGCGGAAGACGCTGCGATGCGAACCCGAAGATGAGAGATGAGAGCCTGAGACGACGGCGGCGGATATAGGAGAGGGGTTACCTGGTTCTAGGGTTTGAGGAGGCTGAAGCGAGATCGCCTGATATGGGCCGCAACCCCAGGCCCAGGTTTACATCTCTTTCGCTTGGGCCATGCCTAAAGCTTTGGAGTCTTTTTGGGCCATGCCTAAAGCTATGGAGTCTTCTTGGGCCATGGCTAAAGCTTATGGAGTCTTCTTGGGCCATGCCGTCAACAATCCATTTTTTTTTGTTTCTCAAAAAAAAAAGGTATATACTTTTTGATGAAAATCTTGTACCACAATTAACTTGATTAATTATGAATGCACGCAAATATAACCATATTTGAATATCTTTGTAGAACAGACATCCCAATTATCCACCAAAGGACATAAAATGTAACGTAACTAATACCAGGATTCACTTGTCACTAAAAGACCCAAACCGCTGCCAAACATGCTCAACTAAGTCCCTTCTTAGTTGGCTTTGTGCTGATTGAGCACATATAGTATCATTTGTCCGGAATACACTGGCGAAACAATCAGCAGGTCCATCATTGATGTTTGATGGTAGAACAACCGTTATCCCTGAAGCTTCGTTTGGATCAAAATAGGCACTTGCCATGTCTTTCTCGTCCTCAATTGTCATGTTATGGAGTATGATGCAAGCTTGTATGATTTTCCCAAGAGTTGCTCGCTGGACGAATCGCATTGGACCACAAACAATGGGGAAACGAGATTGCAGGACACCAAATGCTTGTTGGGCATCTTTCCTCGTGTCTTCTTGATATCGCGCAAACAAGTGTTCCTTTTCTGTTTGAGGGTTAGGTATTGTCTTCACGAATGCAGTCCATTCTGGGTAGATTTCATTGGCAAGATAATATCCCGTATCATATTGTCTCTTATTGATGGAAAATTGCACCCGAGGAGCTTGCCCTTTTAACACCTCAGTGAACAATGGCGATTGATTGAGCGCAATGATATCATTGTTGGACCCAACAACACCAAAGTAACCATGCCATATCCAGAGGTCTTGTGAAACAACAGCTTCAAGAAACATTGTGGCTGCACCATAATCACTATGATTAAGTTGACGCATCCATTTCAGTGGGCAATTATCCCATTCCCAATGCATACAACCAATGCTTCCCAACATGCCAGGGAAGCCACGGTCCTCGCCAATTTGTAGCAGACGCTGCATATCGAGACTAGTAGGGCCTCGCAAATATTCGCTGCCAAACTTGTCAATCACCCCTTCTGCAAACTGCTCCAAACACTCCATTGCTGTACTCTCACCAATCTGTACATATTCATCAACAGCATCTGCCGGGGAGCCACGAGTTAACATACGAATAGCCGCTGTGCACTTCTGTAAAGGTGAGAGACCTTGGCGATAAAAGCCATCTCTTCTTCTGGTGAAATAGGTTGACCATTCACCTAAGGCATGGACGATACGTAGAAAGAGGGGTCTTCTCATTCTGTACCTTGTTCGGAATAGCTGGTCATTACAGACTGGATCTTCAGAAAAGAAATCAGCCACAAGCCGCTGATGTCCCTGTTCATGATTCCTCGCAACGAACCTCCTACTACCACTCCGGCGGCGAGATGTACCAGCTTGTTGAGCTTCAATCTTGGCTTGAATCTTTGCAGTGATCCGCTCAAGAAAATTGTGCAACACACTTTGCTCAGTAATGAATTCTTCCATGGTGTATATGCCAGTTGGGTTGACAGTGTTGCTATCTTCAGAATCATCTGAGCAAGAAGATGTGTCTGATCGATCGGGCATACCTAAGAAAATAAACAGATGGTTCATGTTTCGCATGAACACTTGACAAGAATTAAGCAGCAAAAATATATTTTCTTTTTACTTAAGATCATTTGGTAGCTAGAAATTAAAACACTAATCCTTTCCAGTCCATGTGCAATCAATGAGAATAAATCATGTATTTTCCATTACTCATCTCGACCCTAGAGCTTGGTTGATAGATGGATTCACTTGTTCAGTTAGTTAGCAGAATGGGCACCGACACGATGAAACAATTAAAACATGAAGATATAACCATATGAATTCAGTCTTCAGTATGGACACTTGGGAAATAAGTTCCTAGCTTCAGCAACAACTCCCTTAGAAGAAATGGTCAGTATAACAATCTTCTACCTATTCAAGCATTCAGTAAGAAATGTCTAATACACTTGTTGTGTAACCAGCATCCACTTATATCACACTCTGTACCTCACAAGAGAAATGTACAGGTATTTTTCTATGGTTTCAAGCTTTTTTAATAACTAGTGGACTACTGCTATTTACTGGCAGATTAGAATTTATCAAAAAATCGAAATAATCGTCATCACCATTGGAGATTCAAAATCAACTCATCATCTACTGCCTCTCTACAAACCATTTGCCCATGTCTCCCATGTCTCCAATCCAAGTAAGTCACAGATCACCACGGAAGGAGGATGGAGAGCATACCTGGGAGACGGTGGGGGTTCCCTTCTTCTGAGCGGAGACGCGTCCTTCTAGTCAGGGTCGGCAGGGGGAGCAGGAGGAGCCGAGGAGGCAGGCGCCTCCGGTTGGAGGCGGCGTGGAGCGCTCAGCTGTGGAGGTCCTCGGGGAGTGGCGCGTACTTGAAGACAGCGTTCTTGCGGAGCGTGTGGGCGGGAAAGAGAAGGAGCAGTAGGTCGTGGGTTGGCGGGGCAGCGGCGGCACTCGTAGCGACGCCCGCAGAGGCGGTGCGGGCGGAGCTTCCGCTCCGGTGGGGGCTAGATGCGGAGGCGACGCCGGCGATGGTGGAGTTGCAGACCTTCCGGTTCACCTGCTTAAGCCCAGCAGCGGCCTCCGGCGTGTTTGGGCCCGCAAAACAAATAGTAGGTGCTATGACAGATTGACAGGTCACGGGAAGGAGAAGCAGGAAGCTTATGCACCGGCTAACGTTGAGGTGCCGCCGGGGACGGCGCAACCGGCCGGCGGGCGACGAGGCTCGAGCGAGGGACAAGCGGGCGGTGAGGCTGGGAGAAAGAGAGAGGTGAGCACCAAGCCCAGCTCCGACGGCGATTTCTCTTCTGGCCCAACATTCGCAAGCTCGTGCTGGTGCTGAGACTTCGGCCCGACTGGGATGGACTGATGGTCATCGCCTCATCGATCTTCGTTTCTCACACACACACACACACAAAAAATCGCCTCATCGATCTCGGGCGGCCGCACGGCAGGAGCAAAATTACATAAACAGCATCCACGAGGTACGTTGCCTAGATACGGATACGAGTATCGGATACGCGGATACGCAATTTGCTAAAAACAGGGATATATAAAACCAATAATTCATATATAAATAACTCAACAATCATCACATGGGTCCATCTACTCGTGCTAACAAAGATTAGACAAGAAAAAAAATAGATCAGAGAACATATATTGTACTGTGTGTCTTGCCTGACAGCCTGAGCGTCGAGCGTCTTGCCTGACAGAGTGGAGTGCCGAGTGCAGCTGCAAGCATCGAGGCGTCGTCAATACGATGGGGAGGAACCGAGGAAGCGCTGGCCGCTACGTCACGCACTCACGCACGACGTTGGGCCTTCACAGGCCGTATCTAATTTGGTCCATACGTGTCCGATACACGTATCTGAGTGAATACGTATCCAATATTTTCAGTACGGATTGGATACGTATCCGAGCCGTAGCCGTATGTATCCGTATCCGATACATGTCGGATACGAGATACGAACCCTGTTGAAGTATCCGCGTATCGTAGCCACGAGGTTCAAAAAGTCTAATTGTCACAACTGGGATTATTATTAGGTAATGAAAAATGAAAAATAAACTAAAACTAGTGGCCTCTTGTTTTACTTCACTGCGTACTGGAATACATATGTTATAGACAGATTAACAGAAAGTGCAGGCGCATATACTCCTGACATCAACTTCTAACCGATTGCTAATAGTAACACAGAAAAAACAAGGTTCAGACAACGTTTACAATTCATTCTTGAATGACTGCTAAAGCCATGTTGGAATACCAAAATCCAATAGAGGAGTTGAATGACATCTCTATTGACCGTACGACTATGAAGATCCTTATGTCTGTAGCATTTGATTGTACATGGCATGAATGACTTGTATGAAGCGCTTCAGATATCCGATTCCTCTACAGTCTGCACAATCTTGCGCACATTGGGTCGTGCATACAAGAAAAAGGCCAGCAGAGGAAGGACGTACACATACACACCCTCGCTCCACTCGTAGTAGCCCAAAATGTAGTCGTGCAGAATCTGAGAACAGCCTTTAAAGTTTAAACAAAAGGTACGTTCCGTCTCCTAATTGCAGGCTAGGTAAAAGGGCATTTTCAGTTCATTTGCTTGTTGGTTTCAGCCAGGGCTTATCAGTCAGCCAATAGTGTTTTCCTCTCACAACAAACTAGCACTAGCCGGACTTATCAGCCTAGAAACCAACCAGCGAACAGGCTGATTGTTGAGAAGGACGAAGCCTGATGGAGAACAGGCGTGTTCGTTGGTTAGTTTTTAGACTGGTTTGGACTGACTAGTGCTGATTTATTATGAGAGAAAAATACTGTTAACTGATTGAATAAGCCTGGCTAAAACCAACGAACGAACAAGGTAAGTGTGATTTGAGGCACAGGGTTTAGTCAACAAAGAAAGTAAACACTACATGGTGATGAATGTTGACAAAATAATAATCTGAACAAATCAGTCTCAACTGCATAGGAAGAGCAAGGAAATGCTGCACCTTTTAGACTGATGATTGCCAAGTAAAATCAGTCTCAGGTTTAGAGTAAGGGTCACATTTCAATTCATTAATTATCTTATAAAAAAGGCCTACAAGTTGAAGTCCTGAGATGTCATATCCAACATTATTTATCTAACGCGCCATGAAGAGCTGATGATTGCCAAGTAAAATCATTTGTTTTACCATAACAATTTTCAGTGGTATATCCCA